AGACACAGTTGCAGACTTGCACTAGAAAGAGCACAGGGACTGCTCTTTCTGTGTAACCCCTGAATGAGCAGAACTATAAAAGAAGTGAGGCAGGGTCCAGAGCCCTGCATTATAAGGGGAGGAGACTGCACCAATCTAAAGCACAGTGCAGTGTCTATAGTGACACCCAGAATCATAACCGCTTCCTAAACTCCTACAGTCTATCCTGGAGGGCGGCAGCTACATATCACCATTTATCTCTGTTTAGGTTAGATTGGAAATGTATTTTGCAAAGTCATATATTGATATATATTACAGGGCCTTTCCTCAATAGCCTTTGGATCCAGAATGTAGCACAGATTTAGATTCAAGCAGTAATACTTGTAACCAGTTGGACACAACCTCCCTCCCTCCACTTCACTGGTGTCTAGCTTACCAGACATACTCCTCTGCTTTTCCCTTCTTCCCTGACCTTGGATTTCTCAGCTATAGTTTGTTAGGCTTTTTATCATGCCTTTGGTATGTTATCTGTAGTACAATGCAATTTCTTGTACTCAAGGTCATGAGGCCCCATTTTGCTTAGAAACCATATTACTTATAAATATGTATGTAACCTGTGGAATGTGTGTGAAGTGTGAATGAGAAATATCCAACCAAAAAGGCAGTTTAGGATCAGTGACCTTTTAAGGCAGACGAAGACCCTGCAAGCAGATAAATTAACTGAGAAGCAGCCAGAAAATCTCTTTTTCTCTTGGACAAGATGTAACATCACAGCAGAAACCTGGGACTGGCCCAGAGGAAGTAAAGCCTCCTGCAGATCTGAAAGGCTCTCCTAAGGAACATCATGGTCGGGTCTCCAGGAAGCTGATGCCTGGCCAGCACTCTAGCCACCAGTGAAATCAAAAGTAGTCTGCACCGCACTTGCAGCCTGCCTCCAAACTGCCAGCATGACTGTGATGTGTGTGTGTGTATCACTTTACTTTTAAGAATCTGTGCCAATAAACAATCCCAAAAGCAATACTGCTCCAGCCCACCCTTTGTCCAGGTTTGTTCCTCATCAGTGTTGAGGAAGAACAACAATACTACTCTGAGGCCATAACTAAATTCTCCATTGAAAATGCTACCTGACGCACAGCAATTCCAAACAAGGAAACTTCACTGCTGCTTTGCAAACAAATAAACAAAAATCCCTGCTGTTTATTATTATGCTAGGAATGTTTTAAATACTCTTTTAAGTAGGTGTTTATAAATAAGTAATTTGGCAAGAGGAAGCAGCAGCAGAGGGAATGCAAAGGGGACAAAGGATCAAAATTTAGCAAATAAGGGTGAAGCACGTTGAAAATGTGAAGAGGGACACTTTGTTTTGGAAAGATAATGTAAGTAAAAGGATAGCTATATGATCTGAAGCATTTGTTAGAAAATCAATTAGTATTTCTTAAGCATAAGCGGAAAGAGGAAGTGAAGATTTGGATCAGGATGTAAAAACTTGGTATCTTAAATAAGTTACTTAAGTAAATGACTTGATTTGCAGAAGTGCTGAGTGCTAGGCTGGCGGTGTAACCACTGGGCCATCCATAAGTTAATTTAAGTTAATTTCACTATAGTAAACTATATTGCAAACTATATCTCTAGGACAGTAAGGTAAGGCATAAATAGAAAAGTAGGAAAGCCAACATTTGAGTTAAAGGTCTCTCTTCTTTACAGTTTTTCATAGATAATGAAGCTATGATCCAGAGATTCTAAGGTGAGAAGGGCCCATTGTGATTATTAGGCCCACTTATTGTATAACACAGGCTATAGAACTTCCCCATGTCTTTTAAAAAGACATCCAGTCTTGATTTAAAAATGGTCAATGATGGAGAATCCACCAGGACCCTTGGTAAATTGTCAATGGCTAATTGCTCTCACTGTTAAGAAATTATGCCTTATTTCTGGTCTGAATTTGTGTAACTTCAGCTTCTAGTTATTTGATCATATTATACCTCTCTCTGCTAGATTAAAAAACCCATTATCAAGTATCTGTTCCCTATGTAGCTACTCTTAGACTGTAACCAAGTCACTCCTTAATCTTCTCTTTGTTAGAATAAATAGCTAGATAGATTTCAGGAATTCAGTCACTAGAAGAGATGTTTTTTAATCCATTAGTCATTCTCATGGCTCATAGCTGATTCCTCTCCAATTTAGCAACCTCCTTTTTGAATTGAGGACACCAGAACTGGACACAGGATCCAGCAGTGCTTGTGTCAGTGCCACTCCCCCATTTTTTGTCATTTTCATACTTTGTTGAATGGTGTGGGCAGGGAGAGGACCTGGGAGAAGGAGACACATTATGGATCATGCTCTATTCAGCCCTAAGTGGAAATACTGTTGGAAAATACAACGTAATTAACCCTTCTCAGCATTGAGTGCTTCCTATGGCGTGGCCCTTTCAATTCCCATTTGAGGACCTAGCATGATCTGCACCCCACAGGATAAGGCCTTTAGTACAATTAGTATTAACATTAATTTCACTTTGCTCCTACATCCCTGAAAAGGTCAACACAAAGCCATGGCAAGGGAATACACACATTATCTAAGGCAGCCATTATGTTAGAAGGGAATGTGGCAAGGCTGTCTCTGCCCAAGCGAATGGTGTGGAGGAGAGGATGTGGTTTCTTCTTGCATATCCTTGGCATATACAAGCTTTAAGTGCTCTTTCTTCCATTCTATCTGCACAGTCACTCATATGTTCTCTTTGAAAGGAAAGTTCAACAGGAAGTTTGCAAGTTAGAATTTGTGCTTTCCCTTCTACCTACCTACTGCTAATTACTACTTAACACTATATTAAGATATAACTGTTTATGGTCTCATTCTGCTGAGCACAATGCATATAGTGGAAACAGTCCCTGTCCCAAAGAACTTACAATGTAACTATGATACTAAAATATATATAACACCTATATTTATGTAACAGCAGAAAATTAAGATGTAGAGTTAAGAGCAGTAAAACTAAATCTGAAAAGAAAAAAAATACTGTCTTAAGTGTTCCAGTGATAAATATTAGGGTCTAGGAATATTAGGAAAAAGATAAATTTATTTTGAGACTTATTTAATTTGAATACATGCCTTTTTGCTTCTTGAAATTTCAAAAAACTAACAGCTGGTATCAAATCAAAGCACTGCTATCCAGTTCCTCTTAGTTGCATAGATGTTCCTCTTCAGACAGGATGAAAGTACTTTAGATTTTCATTTGAGACAATCCCTCCGCACCAAAATGCCCATGAAGTATATTAATGAGAAATGATTTTGATAGGATTAAAAATTCTGATTTTCATTTTCTGTGGTATAAGAAGAGAATGTGAAGTCAGCTCAGCACTAGATTTTTGTACCTTACATTATACGTCCATAATTATTATAATGCAATAATCTAAGCAATGACATTCACAGTGAAGTACATCTTTGTCTAAAGTTTCCTTTTATTTGACCCTCAACCAGTTTTTATTTTTCTAATTAGCTCTGGCATTTCCTTCATACCTAATGAAAAAAGTGCTTTCCACCATCTCTTTTTTCTTTTTCTTTCCTTTTATGTTAAGAAGCTTTTGTGAAGGTGATGTTCTTTCTTTATAATAGCCTTTATCTCTACTATGTAAATCAATTGACATAGACATTAAGTCCTTCTGTCTGTCAGAAATATGTACCAGGAATCTTTAATGTTTCCAAATATTTCTATGTTTATCATTTCAAAATTGATCACATATGTAATGGATTTGGAGTGAAAACATCAAGAGTAAAACCAAAAAACCCATATGTTATTTATATTTAAATATATGCAGTGAGCATTTTCAAAAATTTGAGTCAAGTATATTTAAATTATAGACATATTCTAAAACTTTTATTGTTAGAAGTCCTGAATTGCTTTACACAGAAATTTGCTATTAATCTTGCCACTCCAAAGCACGAGATCCAACATGTAATATCAAACTGTTTGTTTTTAGCAGGGGATTTTGAGAGATTGGACACCCAGCTAAAACATGATGGAAGCCTTTCAATCCTTCCTCCCTACCTCCTGCTGTTAAAATCCTCGCCGACATATTTACGTGAGGGATGATAGAGCACTTCACATTACAGCTACGGTTTGTCAGTCAATCACCAGATACAATTAACTCCGGCAAGGGATCTCTGAAATACTAGAGGGATATCAACAGGCTTCTGCATTGTTACTTACGCAGAACATGGTGCTTACTAGACAACGTAGCAGCAGCTACTGTATTGACTAGTTACTCCACTCCAAATAACAAGAGATTAAAATACAATCAGACTATATCTTGCCCTCTAACCTCCAAATACGAGGATCTCGGTCTCTCCTTTTTTTTCTCCCTCCCCACAGGTGCCTCTGGATTCCAAGAGCAAATGGGAGGTTGATCTAGAGCTGATTTCTGCTACCGCAGTGTGACTAAGTAACTCTACAAGTTGCACACAGTCACACGCAAAATCCACACCACCACTCCGGACTTTTTTTTCTTTGAACACTGTTAACAACATTTGCCAAGGCGAAGGATTCTGTCTCCTGACAAGTCACCTGTCAGCTTTCCTCAGCTTGCTGTTTCCTCCGAGGGAAGCTAGGTTGGCCCTAGATCCCACCCACACCCAGCACTATGAATGCAACATTGTCATTGTGTCAAATATGCTGCTTTTATTCCCGACTCACTGGTCCAGCCACCAAGAGCCTCGGAGGCTAAGAAGCAGGGAGCTGTCCTTGGTGCTGAAAGGCAGTAAGGTGCAGTGATCGGCAGATGGCGCCTTGCCATATTTTAAAATACGGTATTGAGCAAACTCGTCCCGAACAGGTTTCCCCAGTCAGCGCAACTATCAACAGCTTGTCTCCAAAGAGCAGTCAAGGTGCTTAACTCCGCTCATCGCCTCTTGCTCTGGCATGAAAGAAAATGCTACTGAGACATGATTCTGGGATCTCCCCTCCCTAAGGGGCAGGCACAGAATGTACCAGTTTTAGATATTCTGTTTACTTCAGAGCGTGTACTCACCATGTTGACCTCTGAGACCATGTCTATACCAGCAATGTCTATCCTCATCCCAACGTCAACTGGAGCACCTACAAACGCCAACAGGGAGATTTGTTATGCACATCACGTGCCTTTAAAAGCACCATCCCTGTGCTTGGTTGTGTTGTAGTGGCATATATACATATGTGTGTTTGTATGCGTTGGGATGGGTACATCAGGAGGGGTGTACGTGTGCGCATACGTGGTCATAAACTAGTTCACAACCGTTTACAAAAACCAATTTGGATTGGAACTGACGTTCCCCTCTGCTCTACAGGACATGCAACACGGTTCTGTTACAGGTTGAAAAAAACTGACAGATTACCTCCAAAGTCTGGCCTCAAGCGAATGTCGTATCCATGGAGCAATCTATCCACGGTCTCTTTCACGTATGACATGTTGCTAGGCTCATTAACGCTGAAGGGAAGAAGGGTTGGATTCAGTATCAGCGGTAAAAAGTGCGGGCAGACAGAAAAACAAACGCACGTACACCTCCAAAAAGAATGAATCAACAATCTGCACACTCACCAATACACCCAGAGAGAATACACCCGGGGATAACGCTCACCTTTGCGTGCAGCACACCATGGCTATCATCACCGGGAGCGACAGAATCCCAAAATACTCTAGCCTGTGAACTGTCCACATTCCTAACTCGGTCTGAAGAATTGGCGTTTCGGCGAAGATCCACGGAATGCAACTTAGTCCAAGGCACAGCAATAATTCCCAACAGGCCGACGCATGCGCGGAGCTCGCTTGATCTCAAAAGACACCTTTTGCCTTGAAAACCCTTTGTGTAAAACAGTCAACCGAGCCAAGCCTCTGAAAGTTCCCGATCGCCTCAGCCAGGCTTCTCGGGGCAGCTCAGAAAAGTACCTGCGGTGGCAGACGAGTTTTCTTCCCCACACCAGTTGAGCCCAGCGTGGTGGTCTCAGACAGAACCAGGCGGCGCTTGGCTTCTAGTGTGGACAGTCCCCGGTTGTCCACTGCAACTGGAGACAGTCGATCCGGATGGAGGGAAGAGCACAGGAAATGGTGCGGGTCATAGTAGAGGCTTCCCACCGCAGTCAGTCCCGGTGCAAGGGTCCCGGGGCAGACCTGGTTACCGTTTCTCTGATGAGGGAGGTGAAATGAAAGAAGCAGCGAGCCAACGACCGGTTCTCTGATTATGTTTGTGGCTGGAGCAAAAGCTTCTGTTGTAACAGACACGCAGCTACAGCCATCACATAAATGGCACGTACACCCCTCCCCGCTATTCATCAGCAAAACTGTCAGACCCACACCGCGCAACCCCGGATGGCTACTACCGCTCTCCCTCGCTGCTTTCCTAGTGCAGCCTCCACTCTGCCTTGGTTGTGCCCCTTTGTTGTGTAGCTTTTGTGGCTCCCGAGGGGTGGCACACACATTTAAGAAGGACTCCTAGGTGTGCATCATGGACACACACTCTCACACACACACATCACTGCAACAGGCATGCTGTGGCACCGCGTGCAGTACTACACGGGTGTCGCCCCAGCTCTCCCCTCTCCCAGCGGGTTTTACGTGACTGAGAACGCTGAGGGGATGGGAAGAGGCACTTGAAAGACCGAGCCTGTTATTTTCCTTCCAGCCATTCCTTCAGTGTTGATGAGGAGGAATGTGACTGCTCCAATCCGCCCCCTTTCACCACAGCAGGAAGATGCTTTAGTGATCCGTGACTGCAGTCTGCTCACACCGAGATGAGTGTTTGTTTTCCCTCCTGAGTGTGAAGTGCAGAAATAATTGTAATAGGGCAACAAGTAGCTTTGGAGTTGCAAAAATGGGCTTGCCATAGGTAATGCAGAGCGTCCATCCTCAGCAATTTGGATGTTTGATTCCCAAGGCCGAAATGCCAGGGATCCTGAACACCAGGGGGCATTAATATTTAGTCTTAGGGTGTGTCTATATTGCACCATTATTTTGAGATAATTAGTGTTATTTCAAAATAACAATGCAAACAGCTACACAGCTAGTCTGTTCTTTTGAAATAATTCCTATACAACAGAGGGCTTATTCTGAAATCTGTAAACCTCATTCCACAGGAATAATGCCTATTCCGAAATATGCCAACAGTGTCGGTTTGCTATGAATATTGGACAAACTTCTCAAACACTTTTCCAAAGAATTAATGCCCGCAAATCAGACATCAGACAGTTTCACAAAGAAAAAACAGTTTCTTGTCATTTCAACCAGACTGGGCATTGTCTCAAAATGACCTCACTACATGTATCTTACTCCAAAGAGACTGTAGACCAGACTACAAAGGGAAACCTCAGAACTGTCATTTATGCTTAAATTTGACACTTTACAAATGGGCCTTAACAAAGATGCTAACTACCTTACCCATTACAAAGATAGCTTCCCCAATTATCACCCCTAATATCATTAACTCATAGACACTAACCTCCCCCCCCACACCCCTCCCCCTCTGTTCTAAAATCTGATTTGTCAATTTTATATGTTTATTTTTTTATTGTATCCCTTTGGTATATATGGTCATGCCAATTTTCTTCCATAATTTGATCTGAGGAAGTGGGTCTGGCCCGTGAAAGCTCATCACCTAATAAACCAGCTTGTTAGTCTTTAAAGTGCTGCATAATCCTGTCTTTTGTTTCAGCAAGACCAGACTAACACAGCTACATCTCTATTACTATTCCGAAATAGCTATTTTAAAATAAGGCTTGTGTAGATTCTCCACTGCTGCTATTTTGAAATAGCCCCTCACCAGGGCCATTCTAAGTTATTCCTCCCCAGTGCCTCCTGGGGCTCTAAATCAAGATAGCACGTCTACATTAGGGAAACCTGCCTCAGACTAATTCTGAGGCTTCCCCGCAGTGTAGCTGTATTATTTTGAAATAAGCTATTTTGGAATAACAATTCTGGAATAGCTCATTTTGAAATAAGCGTGAAGTGTAGCCGTACCCGTAAAAACACACAGGCGGGGGAGGTCAAAGGACATGATCGACATTATATTAAACCACTACAAATCCACACGCAAGTGGGAAGGGGAAGAAAGCTTTGCCAAAAACAGGTACTCAGTGAGGTCCTCTAAACATTTTGTCTAAACCAAGTTTTGCCTAAACCTGTTTTTTCATGTAATAAACAGTCCCAAATTAAGCATCCTGCATTTGAGCATTCCTAGACCTTGAAGAAGTTTAGATCTCAACCCAAACCAGGCACATGGACCCTATTCCTGTAATGGGCTGAACCAAAATTCTGGATCCGGAGACCACAGATACGGGGACAATTGGCACATGATTTCAACTTAGGGTATAAACTCATCTCTGCCTAAAAGTAGTAGTAGTTTGTGTTTTTGTTATGGCAAGGTTCCACAACCTTTTCAAACCAAAGAGCCAAAAACTACATCAAAATTCAGAACAAGTGGTCAACAGAGAGCTAATATAAGAATGCCCACTTGTATGACTGAAAATACACTACTTAATATGACTAATAATTGACATGATTAATAATAGCATAAATGAAATGTTGTACTTAAGGACTTTATTTAATGGGACTTCTGCTGCTGTATCTTTTCACATATTTCTTTGAAGTTTATATCATAACTGGTCAAATTCAGTTTCATGCCCGCATTCAGCCTCTCTTTTGGCAATCTTGAGCTCAAACTACTTTTGATGTGATTCAAATGAGAGAAAGTCTGCTCACACATATAGGTGGGGCCATACATTAAAAGTAAGCCCAAGCTGACATTCTGCATGGTGGTGTATGTCAGGAAGTTCCTTCCAATTTTGCAGAATCAGACTATCATAGTGCTCCAATTTTTTCATATCAGCCCATTTGTGCAGTTTTGCCAATTCTGTATGTTGTCGAGCAAGACATTCTATATCAGAATTCAGCTTGACGAATTTTTCCACCTAGATATCTGACTCATTTAAATCTATTTCCATTTTCAAATCGATGACCAAGATGCCTGAAATGACTGCCAAATCTAGTTCTTCCACAGATACTTCATGTGGATGAATCATAAACTTAAACAGAGCACTGTATTTGCAAAAGTCAACAAAATGAGACTTGAATGCTATCAGGAGACCAGAAAAAAGCCTAGCAAGTTCCTGCAAATCAAGGCCATTATTTGGATTCTTTCTCTGATACGAATCATGAAACATTCATAATCTTTCAAAATGTGCTAGTTTGCCCATGTCAATATTTTTGATGAAGACAGTCAATTTTGACTCAAATCCAAACATTGCATGCTGTTGAGTTAGGACTCTATTTCCTTGCCCTTGCAGCCCAAGGTTCAACTCATTCAAATGACCGGTAATGTTGATGAGATAGTAAAATTTGAGCAACCAGTAACAGTCTGAAAACTCGGGGTGTTGACATCCTTCATATCCAAAAATGACTTAATCTCATTAATGCAGGTGGCAAAATGAGACAAAACTTTGCCACATGATAACCAGTGAACATTGTGCAGTAGTAGATCAGAGTATTTGGAAACTACTTAATCAAGCAGTAACTGAAATTGATGGTGATTAAGGGCTCGGTCATGAATCCAATTTACAATGTGAAAGACCAGTCCCATTACATTTCTGAGTTCAGTTGTTCAGACTTTAACGGGGTTCAAAAAAGAGCTAGATAGATTCATGGAGGTTAGGTCCATCAATATCTATTAGCCAGGATGGGTAGGAATGATGTCCCTAGCCTCTGTTTGTTAGGAGCTGGAAATGGGTGACAGGAGAGGGATTACATGAGAATTACCTGTTGTGTTCCTTTCCTCTGGGACATATGGTATTGGCCACTGACAGCAGACAGGATACTGGGGTAGTATGGCCATTCTTATGTTCCTTGCCTCAGTTTCCTCTCCACTATTGAGCATTCTTGGGTAAGAGTCATCTAAAAAGTCTATGATTTTCCTGCTCTGCAAATGTTTTTCCAAATGAATCTCTTTCATGATGGTCTTTCTCCCTCCCTCTACTCTGCATCCAGTTTTCTTCTTCTTTGAATGGTCCAGCAATTAAAAAGAAGCCCCTTGCATAAAAAAAGGAGGCTCTTCTGTTTCTTTCTCTTGCCCAAAGTTTTTGTTGTCAGTCCCTTTAAGTTCCACCACTACCACCACCACACGCAATCCCATGTCTCCAGCTTTGTGGTTTTTAAGACCCAGCATTAACACCTTATATCTTTGTTCTCTTGTTTAGCGATATTCCACTCTCCAAATTCCAGCCAGCACCCTCATCCCCCCCCCCCTCAAAGAAGTTGGAAAAAAGTGGCCATCCCCTTATCCTAAGATGTTCCCATTTCAGTGGGCACTATCAAAGTTTAATGTCCCTCCGGTGGAATGTAGTGTACTCCCTAGAACAGGTTGTCCACAGGGTCCCATATATGTGAAGGGGTAGCACACTGCCTCTCCTTTTGCTATATTTCAACCAGCCTTCAGCCCCCCCACCTTCCATCTGAGGTGCTGCCCCTTCTGGGAGCATGGAACCACCCCCCATACCTTGCCTTCGGGCCTGGTAATTTGTTTACACCTCTATAGAGACATGGACATCTAGTAAGGTGTCTAAAGAAGCAAGGCCTTCTGAAGTTACCATCAAAAGATGGTAGAGCTTAAGATAAAATAGACATGAGCATAAACTCTGTGGTGTTTTTAAATCCATTATCTCTAACTGCTATTGACTAAAAGGTGTAGCCAATTGTTTGGCTGCACACTCAGTTCATCCTTAGCTGTGGTGGTGATCGGAAGCCCTACCTCTTTCGAATCACTGGGCCCCGGGGCAACTTCCCTCTTTGCCCCCACCTCTGTTGGCAGACCAGTGTCTCTGTCTGGTTCCCCTAACCAACTGTGACCTCTCTTTGGAGAGAAGGTTCCCTTTAAACATTACTATAGCTCTTTCTGTGAACATTTGTGCCAGGAAAATTTACTCTTTTTTTTTCAAAGCTAATGGAAAAAGGAGTGTGAATATGGTTGCAGCAAATTAATTAAAACATTGAAAGGATATTTGCTGGAAATGCATTGCATTACTTACCATCTCTAAATATCTGAGGTTTGATGATAAATTTGTGTAGTGCTCTGCTTCTTGGAGTAATTTGTCACTGGAACTGTCACTCAAAAGTACTAATTATTTGTTTTAGCTTATTAACTAGTTATTAATATGCTAAAATATTAACATATTTTCAGTTTCTATTGCTCAGGAAAAGTAACTGATCCTGCATTCAGGAGAGGATTTTTTTTAACCTTATATGGATTTATGCTATTAATTATCCTGAGCTACTCCAAGAAATTTTACACTGACTAATCAGGGCTTGTACAACAATCTGTTATTTCACTGATGTCTTTCTAAATATTTCCCTGCTCAGTAACTCAGCAGAGATAACATTTATCCTTCTCAAATTCAACCCCCACATTTGTGCTCTAGATAGTGCTGGGTGCAGTGACCTCAGAATGTATAATTGATGTTTTTTAGGATCCCACAATGTTGTGAGAGCTTATTTAGCAGAAAAAGCCAGATTTATTTATTTATTTATTTATTTTGTGG